TAAGCATGGCAATGCAGTGATACAGACTGACTAAAGAAGTCATGCAGCTTCTGACATCAGTTTAAACAAGTCAGACACACTTCTGATCAAAATGGTTAAGGTTTACCAGAATTGGAATTCTGATACCAGAATTAAGAACTGGAAAATTAAGGTGACCTCTAGTTTATTTTCTATAAACATCAACAGGAAAATCTCTCTCTAAGAAGAGAGGGAAAAAAGAAAAATGCCCCACACTTTGAAAAACAACCCTTGTTCACAAAAAATTTACTTAACCTTTGAATTGAATATTAAATTTAAGGTAATTTAACGTTTAGGCATCAAAGCACAGCACACTGAAAAGTGTACTTTGTTGACACAGCACCATGACTATTTACTAGCTGAGAACTGTCAATGTTTTAAAGCAGCAAGGCCAGTGCCCCACCATACACTGCAAATCACTGGTGTTTGTCAGATGCAGCTGCCAAGAAACCTTCCTTGCTTCAGAAAAGAACAGACTAGTCTAGCATTATTTCAGCTGAAATCTTCAAAGGGTGTTGGCGCTGTCAGAAGTAAGCCCAAGGCATTAAGGAACCAGAGGGGATAGGGTTAGCCCAAAGGATACTGGTGTACCCTTCCATGGAATACAGATGGTTAGAAATTTTACAGTATACATTTTTTATCAAAAAACGCCAGTGTCACTTGATGACTCTTCTAACAAATCTCTTTCTAGATCCCACTAGCTCACTTTATCTAGCTATTTGGCAAGCCATCAGTGTCAATCATCCTAAACTACCCCGACATTTAGCCTATCCTAGGGCTAGAGGCTTCAGGCTTTCAGTCTCCCTGGCTTCCAGGAATGATCAGTACTCATCCCCAGGAAAACCAGCTTCCACAGCAGTCTGCATGCAATTGCTAAGTTTTGACACCTCTGCACCTGTTGAACTGAAGTGAAAATATATTACATTTACCTCACAACCTGGACCAATTTTGACCAGACTTGCTTGTAAAATAACCCTACAAAATAATTCAACCAATACTTCTCACCTTGTCAACATTTTTTATATCTATTTAAGCGTGAAAACAACTGAAAGAAAGCTCCTGAAACTTCCTCGATGCTCCGCTGTCCACTACTGCTCCTACTGCAGAACATCCCTTCCCTTCAGTTTCTCATGTCCTGTACCCAGTATTCCCAGGCCCTGCCATGTTTGCTACCTCACAAGCTGCCACTTGTTAGAGAGGGAGAGAACTATCCATGCCTGCTTCATAATTCCTGGCAAAAGACAAGGCAGCAGATTTTTCCCTTTCCTTGCCCATAGCACTGAAAGTCAGGACTTTGACCTAGTAAGACAACTAATCATAAGGACAGAAACAGTAACACCTTAGTAAGGGAGACCCTCACCCCCTCTGACAGGAAACCAGCCAAAGGCAGCAGGAGTGACAAGGAGGAGACAGGGGTTATCTAGGGAACAGCACATTCACACAGAGACAGTGCAATTATACATGCCTCATTTCCTTATGAAACTGGGATAAAACTCATAAAACATGCAGAACTCTTCAATAATAGGAGTGCTATTTTGAGCTAATTTTTTTGAGACATTTAAGTCAATCTGCATTTAATTCACATTTTCCCAAGGAAGAAAAGTTCTTTGCTTTTCCTTTTCTGCCTGCATGCAGAACTAATGAAGAAAAATATAGATTTTAAACATTACATGCTGTACAGTTTGAAAGGGAAAAAACAAAGCAACATAATTCTCTGCCAAATTTAGTTTCTTGATCGGAGGAAAATTCAGTAAATTCAAAAAGTAACAAAGGTACAGCCAGCTGTAAAAATTTTAAGGTGAAGCAGGAACCCACCAATCTCATTTTGTTAACCATTTAGAATAGACCAAACACATGCATACATATGCACAGATGCACTGGAGAGAATTTCAAAGCTCAAAATACTCAGAATTAGAGTATTCTAAATAAATTCTTACATTAAAGGAAAAAAACAAGTTAAAGAAATTCTCTAAAGCTTCACTACTCTGGCATATAATTCCACAGCAAGACACTGGTTCTAGCAAGCCAATGGTGGACTAACAGAATAATTCATAATGGATTATCATTCTCTACATTTAGATTACTGCAGTCTATTGATTAACTTTACCAAGGCCCATTAAGTAGAAAACAGCATGCCAAATGCCATCATTTTGGAAAAATTGTTCTTTCTCCTTATCCTCTTGTGTGGACAAGAACCACACTAGCAGACTCAGCTCCCCGAGAGACCAGGAAGGTAAGAAATATTGCAGATGTTGCCATACATATTAGGCTTTTTACATACACCAGGACTAAAAGAGATGGAACATCCTACCTAACTATTTAACAGAAAATTTGTTGTTCACCTGAGCAAAACTCTTCAAGTTGCCTCAGTGTCTGGAACAGAATAAGGACTTCAGCCTTGTCCCCATCTTACACAAACCTTTTACAGAAGCCTTGCTTAATGTAAAACATTTAATACCAGGACAACCATTCCTTGAGATGCACTAGTGGATTTATATGCCTGTTTGCAGAGAAAAACATAATTTTTTTCTAATGTTTCAAAAGAAGTACATATTCACTAAGCAGAGAATTGGACAAATTATCTGAATTAGACTAAAGTTTGAAATTGCAGTGCCTTAAATCCTGCAAATAGCTATCTGATTATTCCTGCCATGCTGTAACATACTATAAAACATAAGGAAACTTATAATGAATCAAAGGAATTGTTTTTGTAAGATGGCTTATAAAGCTGAATATTAATGTAAAACCTTAAAAATGGCAATCTACAAATAATCATATGAGCTGTTATTTCTGCAGGGGAAGAGGTGCCTTTCATATAACATGTTAAATCACAATATACAAAAATACTTCTAAGTGAATTCATTTAACTTCTAAGTTTTGCCACAATTTTTAATCAGAATTCTATCAGGTTTTGGTTTTACTTAATTTACATGCTGTATTTGTCAGTGGACATTACCTGATCAAAGAATCATTTTTGGACTTCTCCAACCAATTTCACTGCTCCATTAAACAGCTCACAAAGAAAAAAAAAATCAGCAACTATCTTCTGTCAACTACCAAAATTATTTTAAAAATCTGAAACTGAGGAAAATCACCATGTCTACGGTAAAGTTCTATTAACATAATCTGAAAACTCACATTCCATTGAGTGTAAGAAGTTATTCATGAACCTTATTTTTAGTAAAATTTTAATAAAAATGATGCTTTCCATTTTCACATTCTGACGAGCTAAAAATACAGAAACTTATTTACATTTTATAACAACAAAAATGTACAAATTACTATACAAAATGCAGTACCATATCATTAAAAACAAGTTTTTGAAAGTTCTAGCAGTAAGGAGATTATTAAGCCTGTATTTTCTGAAGAGAAAAGACTAAGTATCAATAACTGAACAGTAATTTTCTTCAGGTTAATAAAAAATGCTTTCATGACAATTATGACTATCAGTACTTTTAATTTTGGCTGATACAAATATAACTCATAATAAAAGCTGCTGAATTTATAACAAGTCAAAGCCAATATATATTCTTTCCCTTGAGGCTTTTGCCACAGAAATTTTCACAAGAAAAGTACAGAAACTTCTTTTTAAGGAAATAAGCTTGGCAAGAAATTAGTAAGTTACAGTTTTACAAAACCTCTGCATCTGTACACACTCACTGCAGATGTTTACAGTTATTTCAAAATTATACATATGGCAATCACTGTACGCTGATACAGATGTTTTAGAGTGGAAATGGTTCAGCACAAGCTGAACCCATGGAATGGCAAATTTCAATTCACACTTCTATTTGAAACACGCGAGCACATTCTGAGCAGCAAATGGAAATCTCACACACTTTTACTTTAAAAAACTATGGGCCAACATATTGCATAGACGAAAAATCTACAAGATCAGCTCAGTCAGATCCTTAACTACTGCTTAAATCGATTGGGATCTAGTTACATCTATGGATTTGAGTGCTTGAGTTGTAAAAGGATGCTGGTTCCCCATCTTTGTGTATGGATGAATCTGATTCTACCAACATTTCAGACTGGGTGATCACTGCAATACCTGGAGTAGAACTTAACTCATATATTGGGTGTAATTCTGATAAAACAGGAAGAATCCAGTGCATTTTTTTTAACATATTAAGACTAATGCAAGCCCTACATTATGCCATGACCTTTAAAAAGCTGATAGCTATTTACTGAATTGAAAGTCAAGCCAGAGAACAGACATCAGTTCATACGGTATTCCAACATCAGTATATCTACAGTGGTTGTACTGGAGAAGGGACAGAAAAATTCTTAGATTTGAACACTGACAGCTTTTACCAAATGCTCCAGGATCATACAGCTACTCTTAAAAGGGGACTGTGTAAAATCCTATTTCTAATCCAAGAGAAAAAAACCCACAACAATCAGTTCAAAGTAATATAAAGAAACACTACTGAAGTGTCCAAACTGTTTTCACATTAATTTGAACCCATGGCTCTGAAAAGGTGAAATATCCTGGTCTCAAATACGTATGGTCCACTAATCTCACGTTAAATGTTGTTACTTTCACCCATGAATATACCATATGATTAGTAGGAAATCTTTAGCAGACACAAAAAAAATGAAAGATGAAACTTGCAGCAAGAGAGCATGGCAAACCTGAGAGATCTATTAGTGCATAAATTTGCTTAAAAACTAAAAAGATAGAAAGAGAGAGCTAACAAACTACAATAAAAGTTATGTCTTTAAAGCAGTAGGTTATAACAGGGTGGGAAATGTTTAATATGCACATATACCTGCAAAGGGGTCACTATCTTTCTGAAAATAAAGAGCTGATATTTTTCACAGCATCAGATTTATGGTAAAAAGCCATAAAGAGTAGTTTTTAATATTATGCTTTTCCCACCCTGGCAGAGAATAAACATGAATTTAGAAGCACAGTAGAAGTGAAAAACAAAGAAGAGGAGAGATAGAAAGCAGCAGAGAAAGACAGAAAAGGTGAATACAGAGCTACAGAAGTGTTTATTGAGCATGCTACAGAGGTAAGCAGAGTACACACAAAATGAAATTAAACAACCATCAAACCTCCCAACTTTGTTAGAAAATTAATTTTTAATTGTGCCACTTTCAAACTATACTGAATTTTACAATTCTAAAGATGTAAAAACTCAACTAATAGAAAATATACATGACCTTTTTTTCTCTACATAGGTAACAGAATCTATGAATCTTGAAACTAAGTACATCAATTTCAAAAAGTATTGGTCATTTAAACAGAATCAAGGTAACAGTTCAGACTGACAGAGAACTGCTTTCAAATTAAGTGGATCTGCAGATTCTGAGCCATGTTTATAGTAAAGTCAGATCAATTCCTAAATACAAAATATTCTGAAGAGATTTATTAAAACTGAATATTACAATGCAAGGTAAATTAAGACTAAAGGCACATAAACTTTGGTCCCACCTGGTTGTCAGTTTTAGGAAACTGCCACAAAATTTCCTGCAAGCATTTGCAGCAAACTTTCTTCATCATTGAAAAATACATGCACCATTTCCTGAACTAGCTTGACCAGTCTGTACATGCTCAGAAATCCACAACCATATTCCATATCTTAATTACAAACTAAAGATGGCAATATATATTGAAATGCACATAAGTCATGTCAACTTCAAAAACATCTACGAAAAATATTCAGCCACAAACAAGACATTACTTAGTGCTGACATTTATATGATACATCCCACAAGAGTGTGTACAAAAAGGTTAAGATTCCACAATGCTTTTCACGTAGGGCTCAAAGTCACAGAAGTCACTTTTTGTCCTTTGAGAAATTAATATTCTGTACCTTGTTAATTTTAACTAATGCCTACATTCATAACTGAATCTAGACCAGAACAATGTAATACAAAAGGTCTTTTAAAAAAAAACACAAAGCAAAAAGTAGCAAAAAATCAAATAATGTAATTTTACTCTTTCAGCATAATGCATCTAATCCAATTAAAAAGAAAAATAAGTGACAAGCCAGCAGATAAAGAAATCAAGCAGGAGAAACAAAAACTTAACCTTTTTACACACCCCTGCCTAAACATATTTAAATTATCATGTAACAATGTGCCCCAGACAACCAAATTTGCTTTTTACTAGTTATGCAATTCCAGCAGTACTAGTTTTCCTTTTTAAGGCACGTACGTCAACTAAGTTGAAAAAATGTGGTATTATCTTGAAATCTTTTAAACAAAACAATGGTTTATCTAAACAACAGTTGACTACAGCAGTTAATATCACTGCTTTTTATTTTTTTAAATTTTTTATTTTTGAAAACAATCAAGGAATGATAACAGCATGAAAAAAAATAAAAAAACAGAAGACAAACTCTGGTCCCCACTTTCCTGAACAGTCAATAGGTGACAACACCAAACAATGCAATACACCTTCATTCTCAATCTGCCTTTTTTAAATAGTTGACTTAGAGAAAGAAACTCTCAGATGGTGACTCTCTCCCAAATTGTAATTGTGAAGATCAATCAAAGCCTGAATAGCTTCTTCTACTGTTGACATCTGAAGAAGTGCCATCTTGTGATCTCTTCTGAAACAAAATAACGGAATTAGGAACTCGAACACTACAGGGGTTGCTCCTAACGTTTGCTATCAGATATGTGCTTTTTCTTAAGATGTGCTCCAAAACTCTTCTGTTAGAGCTATGTGCAGAAAAGCTACTTACTGAAAAAATTTAAATGCTTTCACAGTGCCTCCAGTGTTAGCAAACAATGTGCGTAGATCCTCTTCCGCTACTGATGGTCTACAGACAGAAAGAAAATAAGCATAAGCAGGGGATCATTAGTCAATGCAGTGTGTTGTGATGCACATTAATATTACTGGCTTACTGACAGTGGACACTTACGGAATATTGGACAGATGAAGTGTTGCAGAAGGAGGGAATATATTTTGAAAGTTCTTTGAACCAGGTTTCTTGAAGCGATGCAAAGGTGAATTACCAAAATCTTTAGTCAGCCCTTGGTCATCAAGTCCCTCTCGAGGTAGTTGTACTGTTTGATGTTTAGAAAGGGTAACCCGAATAATCTTTCCATACATTTTTTGTCCATTAAGATGGCTCATGGCTGAAAAAGACAAGTTTACTCAATTGAGTGTTACTTCCAATAGCTTGTGGTACATCACACAAGCAAGAAAAACACCCAAGCAAATCAAAGGGTCTATATGCTAAAAGACTGGAATCAAGAATTAGGTCTGCAGATGCTTCAAGAATATTCAATTTTATTTAAAGATAATCATGTGATTCAGCTGTTGAATTCATTTAGGATATCGTGCAGACCGTCTGGAACACAAGCGTATGCAATAAGATTTTGGATCTGGTGGGTAACCAGGATAAAAGACAAACTGACAAATATAAACACGCTTAGTTCACCTGATCTTAAACAGCCTAGTTTCCAAATACTTAGACTAAAGAGAAAATAAACAGAAAACTAATCTTACCCAGCTGTGACTGGTTTCCATCAGCCATCTGTATAAGAGCACTATCTTTCTTATTGTATAAAATCTTCACACGCTGCACATCACCATAAACACCTTTTCAAAGTCAAAAGTAACCCAAAAGAAAAAGTTCATTTTAAAGCCAGTCACCTAAGTAATATATTTTGACATATCAATGGAACATTCAGACAGCAACAAGATCACTCACTCAAACTCAACACACTCACAAATGAATAAAGGAGATAAAGATTTCGAATAGTGAATTTTGAAAAGAATAATTTCTGAAAAACCCTCAAAGCTATGTGAATGATATTAAATTAAAGATCATGCAAAATATATTAGCATGCATTAAAAGAAAAACTGTGTCTATGGAGAGTTTTAAACAGCAAAAGAAAAATAGCAAAAGATTTACTATTCAACTTTAAGCCAAAGTGCTAGCTACAAATAAGAATTAAGGTGAAACAAAAAACCAACCAAACAAAAACCATAAAAACCAAAATCAAATCAATAATAAAAGTATAGTGCTAACAATAACATACCGAAGAGGGTAAACAGACTTTGGGGCGTAACCATCTTTAGAAGGAGAGAAGAGCAAGCAGCGTAAGACAAGAAGAGAGAAGAGTCGAGGAAGAGCGGAGATGAACAGATCATCCATAACGAAGGGTGGTTCCCGCAGAATGGTGAGGTGGTCATGGATCATGGTTTCAAGGCGGTTAATTGGGGCAAGTTGGTCCGAGGAACATTTTGTTCAAGCACAGAAGCATGAACATAGGGAATGAAGACAGGGAACGTAGACAAAGACGAGGAGAAGGGCAAGACAGGGAAGGGCATGGGGATTTGGGTAAAGACAAGGAACGGGAAGTTGAACACAAAGGGAAAAGGATGAAATGGGGGAGGGAATACAGCAATGCAGAAGAAAAAAAAATAAGGAAGTGGGGAACAAAAAAAAAATAAAATATAGGTCAGTACATAGGAAATGCAGGAATTTGGTCAGAAAATGGTTGGTTTATGTACTGTACAAGAAAAACTGAGTAAAATGTAGTCACCCAAGACAAATATGGGTAAAGTACATTCATATTAAGAGTAAACTACAGCATTTCATCTCAACATGAAAATAAATTAAAAAAAGCATGCAATAGAAATTTTAAAATTTAAACTTTAACTGCGTAAGCATGGCTGGTTATGAAATGCAGGCAAAAAATCTTTCAAAATGGCACTCTGATCTAAAACATTTTAACATGCAAGACTGTGGATGACAAAATAGTATCAGATGATAAATAAAGCTTCATGATTTACAGTGACAGAGGCCAGTTAAAAATGGAACAGCTAGACTGATACAAACTTCCCACATTTCATACCAGCTTTCACAGCCATCAAAATAAATGTAAAGGACAGTAAAAATGCAAAACTAAACTAATCCCTTTAGATTTCAGAGTTAGCAAGAAAGATACAGTTAAGGTGAAAATGCTTTGCCACCACTTTTTTTTTTTAAAAGACAAATGAGTAACTGCAAAGAAAAAAAATTACTAAGAGAGACTGGAAGAGTGCCTCGTCAAGATCTTTGGGAGAACCTTCAAAGAAAAATGTGTTAGAGTAGTTTACATAAATTAAGACCTCAAAATGTGAGATAAAAAGCATGAAATGAAACAGCAAACAATTAGAAACAAAAACAGAAATTCTAGTTTACATGATTATAATTGCAAAAGAAACCACAGTTGCTATTTTGTAAAAATAAAGCTTTCAATTCAAATGTCAAACATGCAGTGGAGTTACCACATTTTTCTTAGGAAAAAATAGGTAGCTGACTATGAAAGGATATTTTAAGTTGTTAGCTACCTGGGAAAACAAATGTATTTAACAATAATGGTTTTAAAATTAACTTTGGGGATTATTAAAAAAAAAAAGAACAAAAAATACTTCGAGCTTAAAATCCAAATGTAAAAGGACAAATGCAAAGAAATTATAAAATACTGACAAATGAAGTGTGACTAAAGAGTGGAAAAGAAAAGTAAAATTGCTTTACTGACCTCTTCATTTAAATTGCTAACCAGGAGGACTGTATTGCCACCAGCTGCAACTCCAGGCATTCCTACTCGACCAGCAGCAGCAGCTGCAGCTGCAGCAGCAGCATTTGGAATAGCCAAAGGACTCAAAGCCCCTGGAACAGCTGCAACAGGAAGCCCTAATTTTAAAATAAAGCGTATTTTACGAAACACACACAAGTCGTTTAAAAAGAAGTTCCTATATCAACACAAGTGTTGCATACAACACTCTACACAGCGGACGATTCCACTCTTAAATTCAAATGGTTGTAAAATGGGTTGCTAAATTAACATAAGAAAGAGAAATGTGGCGTTTTTTTAATTCAGATCAAGTCTGCAAAGTTATGAGGTGTAAAAATACTTTCTTTTCAAATCAACATTATTGCACACCAAAACTGTTTCCATTGCACTCCAAAATGCTTCAAGAGTCTAGTTTATCAAAGTGGTCTAAAGTAAATGTTGATTAAATCAGTGAGAATAAACACTAATTGTGCTCTCTGCATCATGACATCTTTCTTTTCCATCCCCCTTTGAGAGACATTCCTCACTTCCATTTGATGCTTGACTAAATATGCAGCACTGCAGGTGCCCACATAAAAAGGTGTACGTATCTCTCACAGCCTCAGCATAAAGGTGAGGAAGAAACCTTCTAAATTCAACATTCAAGATGTTCCATGGCTTTTGTAATCCAATTCTCTGAAGAAGTGCATAACCATTAGCTAAACCTTCAGTTGTGCTTTCAATTTTATTCTTCTAAGGAAACTCGGACCCTGTAGAGACGTGCTGGTTTTGTCTGGTCAAGTCCCTGGAGTACCAGACAGGTGTGTCACTCCCAGGATTCATGAAAGGTTCTTGTGATAAGTAGGCACTATACATAGTTATATAGGAACAGCTTTATCATATTTGATCAACACTGTATTTGCACATCATATACAGTCCAGTAAAGGGGCACTAATTTGGCAAAATATGTTTCCAGGACAGTAAGGCACAACATGTCCTCCTGAAGGAAAACAACTTATTTTATACTAGGTCAATAGCAGTCATGTAAGTTTTAGAAAACGTCAAGCTACTGTGTCTTACTAGAGCATTTCAAATCTTCTAGTACGTCTAGGCACCTCTCCCTAGCCTTAGGAAGCTTTAAGCCAGTCCAGCAGTTTTAGAAATAAAGGAATCTAGAGACGACTAAAGAAGTTTTTATGGTTCTTTCCCTAGCTGGGCACAGCATAGTTGAGCAATTCATACTTTAAAAGGCAAAATTCTTCATGGAATTCAAATTCTTAATTTTCAGTTAAAACCAAAGATTAATTTAACACTACTCCTACAAAAATATTTTGAATTATTATCCTTCAAAATGATTAGGAAGAATCTTAAAAGGGGCATTAGCAGAAAGTGTTAACAAGGAGAACAGCGATGACAGGAAGGGATAAAGATGAACCCTAAGCACAACAACATATTTCCAGCTGTAATACTAAACATATATAAACTGCGGGTAAAGTATTATTTCTTATCAGTATTTGCGATAAGTAGTTCTTACATAAAATATTTTCTTTGTCATGGTTCAGTATAATACAGCTGTTGTTTATCCAAAGGTTTTTTTCTGTAACATCTGTAACTTTTTGGGGGGGAACGAGGAGGGAGAGCATAGATACATTTTCATATGTGAGGTACAAAAACAGAAAACAAAAAAAACATTGCTTCTGATAATTCACTTGCAACCAGCTCATTTTATCCACTAGTAATTTTCTCCTTCTTTCAAAAGATAATAAGACTCATTGAAAAGATGTCCAATTTACAGTCTCAAAGATTTCTGACACCTTATTTCATCACAGCCAAGGATGTAGTAGATGAATGAGTAATGATGCGTGTGGGTTAGGATCATCTATTTGATTGATATGTTTCTAACTGATTACATAGCACACATAGATCTCATTTCTCGGAAAGGTCAGACAAATTACAAAGCCACAGCAAACAATTCTTGTTCTGTAGACTCCACTGCACTCTGATTTGCCATTCTGATTTAAGCAAGTAAAAAATTTTTAATAAATAAGATCAGCTCCTAATATGATTATTAGTCACAATGTAACACACCGTTTAAGATTTGAGGACTTATCTGAAACTACTTAGAAATGTTAGCTACTTTGTCAACATGATCAACCAGTATTAGATATCTTTGTCCCTAGCTTTATTTTAGCTTCCAACAACTATAGATTACAGGTTTTTGTTTTTTCAAGATATTAATGAAAACATACAAATATTATACACCTTTTTCCTAGCCTTCTGAGGTCTTTTTCCTCAATGAAGTTGAAATACAACATGTCACATTACTTATCCCCCCTCAGTTTACCCTTTTGCATGACTTCTGAAATGCAAATTAGTAATGGCATTTTAATAGTAGGCAAATTAAAGCTAAACTAAAGATATAGTATGAACTTATGTTAAAACCACAGGAAGTGGTAGTCATATCAATGCAGGTAAGCACAACTGTGACTGAGAACTGGATTTAGTCCCTGGTCCTGTTATGAACCCTTTTTGTGGTTCTATGTCAAGTAACTACCATCTTTTTGTAACAGATATTGACCTGATTCTCATACTTAGCCTGAATGGCTTTGAGGGAGATAACAGGTTCTTTTAAAATCTCTGCATAACAGCTTACGAAGCTGCAAGTGTTACTATGCTACATCCTAAAGTTACATTTACTGAAGAGGAGAGTTAATTCCATCCAGAAGGAAACTGAGATATGTAATGGTTTAGTATTAATGCAGATTTAAACATCTAGAGTAACAACATTCACATCCTGTCACTAAAACTCAACTCACAAAATCATGTTAAACCTAAATCTCACTTTTGACACATGAATTACAGTATACTGTTAAAAAGCCAAAACCTAAAAGGCACCCAAGTTTTGTACAAGTCTCCAGCATATATTAGCTTATTACAAGCAAAAGGCAGAAGTGAGTCCTTACCACATTTTCTGTGATCTCATTATATACATAGAACAGCTACAGCAAGCATTTTTACAAGAATGCCACAGGTTCAACTCATAGTATTCGTTTTGAGCACGCAAAAGAACCTGAAGAGCACCACATTAAGCTCAAAACAGAGCTCCACTCTTTCATGGGGAAACACGTCCTCTGGGAATCACATATGAATAGGGCATGGCAGACACTGAGTATACACTGAAGACATCTTTATCAGCATTACGGAAAGAAATTCAATATTAAGATTAAAAAAGATGAGGAGGAAGGTCACTGCTATCTTTCTGCCACATATCACGTGTCATAGTTCGCCAACCTCCATCTTATGACTCTTTAAGTCTTCCAACCTTTCTCCTTTTGAGATCTGAATAAAAACGCAGCTATAAGTTCTATGCACAAGCATATATTTTCAGGTTTTGAGTTTTTCTATCCTTTGTCCTCTTATTAACATCACTTACATTTTGTGCCTTTTTACACAGTGAGCAGCCCAGAACGAGAACCCTGTTATTCCATATACAAACTAGGTCATTCCCATTCTCACAACTATCCTAAATGACTAAGGCACCAACAGTATTGTGGAGTCTTTTTGTAAAGTTTTTCAGCTGCAGAGCTCAAATTCTGTAAAACCAACAAAAAATGCCATCTAAAAAAAAATCTTTCTAATAGCTATCCCCGTTTGACAGAGGATGAAGAGTTAATACACCAAGCTCAGCCAACTGGCAACGAGCAGTTAGAAAATGTACCCAGCTCCCTTAAGTCTCTTTCAAAACAATGAATGCTTTTATAGAAGAAAAAGCCAACCATGATATATAATCTCCACTACCCATCAAAATAAACATGACTGACTTCACTGATGCTCTGAAAATGTTTCACAGCTGCAATGAAAGTTACTCATGTCATGTACCTTTTATTTTCCTGCTGCTTGGAAAAACAGTACGTTTAAGGAGGTGCATCCAGAGAGTAAGAAATAAAATATTTAATTAGTTATTATGACTGTCATCTTCATAATTTTACTAGAAACTACCTTTAATATACACAAAAGAATGAGTGATTAAAATCAAAAAGTTAGAGAACTTGTGTAGTTTTGCAGACAATCACAAAAGTATCCAGGTGACTTTCAGGCCTAAACCACTAAAAAATAAAATCTGCTAAAGTCACTTGGATAACTGGAGAAAGTACAGTAAGCCCAGTTAAACATATCCAGAATAATGCAATGATCCAAGCATCCTCCAAGTGTGATTTCACTATGCCAAGCAAATTAAACCTGTTAATTTGATGCATACTGTAAGTATTACATACAAAGAAATATGTAAGTAAGCCTGAGGCTAGAAAGCAACTTCTCGGGATTCAGGAAAATGTCAGAATTAGAGTTACATAAGTGGTGCTGCATTTGGCACTGTTTTATAACTCACAAATCTTTACCCTCCCCTCTCCTAAATCCCTGCCTTACAACACCTAGTATTATAGGTCTCATTTAATAAGCATCTTTATTTTGCTTTTGTCTTCTTACTACTCATACTGCAGCCCCATGCCTACGTTCTAGTCATTATGCGCTGACAAAAGAATTACTAACTGCCTCAAGGGTTTTTCTACAGAACTCATCACTATAGTGTCAAACTTCCTCACAAACACTCATCCCCTTTCCCTACTGAACCATGAAATGAGAGATTTTAATATTTAAACTATGGGAAGTTAAAAGAGAAAAAAAAAATAAACTTTAGCTACAGGTTTTTCTGAGACTTTGGATTCCTATGATATTTTTTTACTTTCCAGAACTTTTGCTGTAGCTGCAAGTGATACATTTTGCAAGTCATACTGGAGATGTGAACTCAAGCACTCTGAAATTCGTGGGAAGTGGGTTTGTAGGTACTTTACAACTAGATACGAAAAGTATCCTTCAAGTAATCTGATTTCAGAAAAGGGGAAAATACAGCACAGCATTCAGTAGCCCTAACTATAATATTCATCCTCTTCCTGGGCTTACATCATTCACTAAGCGCCTTCTGCCTTTTGCAACATACCGAGAACAGAGGCCCCTCTTTTCTACATTAACTCCGACTTACTTTAATTTGGCCCAGCCTGTACAAAAAACCATGAAATCTATGTTATTCTGATGTTTTCTTCAGAAAAAAAATGGGAAATTACAAAAGAAAAAAAAAAAGAAAAAGACTAAGTGGGAAGAACAATGATCACAACATACTCAATCAGCTTTTATGGAAGTAATGATTCTCAATCTGAGTACTATTACATTTTAAAAAAGTAAAAGGTGTTCTCACCAAAAAACAGCAATTTGACAGAAGTAGGAGTATGCATTGATTATTTTGGTAATAGTCAGAAGATAAGATAGATCTGTATCTTTCCCAGATCATTTCACCAACTTATGATGAACTCAAAGGCTGACAGAATATTAGAACTCAAATACCATAGCACTAGAAGTGCAACTACTGATTTTTTTCCTTTTATTCACAAAATCCACAAATTTAGCACCATAGCGTTTGGGTTTTTTAAGCAAAGAGCATAATCTTTCCTTATTGAAGGTAACCAACAAAATCTTAGTTTCATAATCTGATATTACAAACATTTGCATGAAGGAATCACTCAAATCATGTTAAGTCTCTCTAACAAAGTTGGTGGGAGAGTGAGCAAGGTGGCCAGTAGCAGCTGACAGGAACATATGAAAGAAAGAAGGACAGATTTGGGACTAAAGTTGTACTACTTTGACTTTTCCTAATACTTTTTGCATTTCTCATTTTGTCATGCATTCTCCCATTCATTTTTGCAGTACTTCTAAGACAATATAATTTGTTACTATAATTCAGACTCCAATATAGACTGAACCCTGAGTGGGCCTTTGGATACTATTGCAATTTAAGATCTTTAGTTAGAAGGATTAATAAACATTTTCATTAAGTGGCTTTGCAATACAGAAGAACAATGAATGTCAGCACCGTACCTAGAAGAGAGGTCTCCTTTGCAAATGCTGCAGCAATAGCTGGGTCCAGTGTTGGCTGTCCATCACCAGATGGAAGGTCAGGACGAGTGTAGTCCCTGCTTTTGTCGTTGTTGTACTTGACATTCAAATTCACCAATTTGGAAAAATCAATCCGTAGGGTACAGCAAGCATTATATATATTTTGACCATCTAAGGCCTGTAAAAAGGATCACAATTTATTTAAAAGACACACAACACAAGTTGGTCGCATAACATTTTTTTTTTTTAAAACAGGGTCAGCGTATAGATGTTTATCCATCTTGCTGTCTAGTTTAAGACCGATTAAGATTAAAACACATTAACCTCTCAAAATGATCCCAGGAAGCTCGATGTTTACCTCTTTTACCTAGAAACTGATTATGCACAAAAAAAACATTTTAATGCTGTCAAACTTAAATTTTGTTTGTTGAATATAGCTAATTAACCAGTGCAGCTTAAATTCAGACAAAATGCCAAATAGATTTCTCAAAGGGGGGGATTAAAAAAAAGAAAGAAATCAAGAGTCTCACAAGTACTCAATAATATGGAAAGTTGACCTGAGGAAAAAAAATAAAATCCAGACTTAACTACCATGTTAGACAGCTATCTGTTAAAACAGAATATATACACTGTTCTTGTATGCTTTCCTTCTCCTCCTAAAGGCAATTAGTGCCAAAACAGAAAGACAAGCAACTTTAACTGCTAACCTGATGTTACTAACACTTTTTTAAAAAAAATCCTATTTTCACAATTAATCGGAACTTCTGAAATGCCTATGAACAGTGAAATTCACATGAACTCTGAACACAACACCATTTAGAACTCTATGAAAACAGTCTCTAAAAAAGCCAATACATATGTTTTCTCCATCTTCACTATATATCACGCAAATTGATATACTTGGATTTTAGTCCATTTATATTTCGGGCATACCTGCCTTTCAGTTGAAGCACTAACATTAAATATTGGGAGAATTTAAAAAATGGAAACTTTTGTAACAAAGTCAGTTTTATTCTTAAAAAATGCTAGAATGTGAAGATACAACTCACCTTAAGAACTAGCATTCAATCAAGTTATGATGTTAGCTATAAGACAACCTTATATATACACACATATTGTGAAAAAACCAAATAAACCACATTTTCAAATACAAAAATCAGATCTTTTATTTCTCTACATTAATGATGGACTGAAATATATCCCTTCTGGACCCAAGCTTGGTTACGCCTGCAATGTACTTTCCAACACGTTCAAGTTATGGTAAGACTTACTATTTTAAGCTAAGCACTGCACGAACCCAGTGTGCCTGCTGGCTATGGAAGCAATATAGCTGTTTTCATACAGTGATACATCTGGAAACTGAACATCTTGAAGACAACCCTCTGCTACGTCTGGGCCAGCAAGGCTGTCCCTACAAAATGTACTATCACAGCTGACATCTCCAGGGCTCATGAAATCACTTAAAAGAATTACCTCCATTAGCAGTCAATGGAAAAAAATATCTAAGTCCACATAATAAGAACTTCCAACTTATGGGAAAATAAAATCATACAGAAAGAAGTATAGAAACTGGACAATGTAGACATCATTTCAAGAAATACTTAATAATTAAAGAGAAACTCCTATGCTTGAAACTCAGCTTAAAAAATGCTTTATACAGTATTGGAAAAGGAAAATCTACTGTCCTTTTTATATAATACAAGCTGAGCATTAATTCTGCACTGTTGGGGTGGTGGTGGGTACCACCATTACAGCATAGAGAATTTGCTAGTTCTTTTATACATGGTGACCAAGCAGAATCCAAGCCTCCAAGTGCTGGTATTTCAGAAAAGAATCTCACCTTAACACTTACACCTAAAAAAGCATATACTGAGAATCAGTCATCACTATTAGAAGACTTCTTCCCTTCTAAAATCTACTAAGATATGGATTAGAGGTAGGTCCAGTTTACACAGTCAGAGTTTATATACTGTCAAAGACAATGCCATTGCCATCAAGGAAATACCCATTTCATATAAAATGAAGAAAACAGGTACAAATGAGAACAAAAGGGAGTATCCTTTAGCTTTGTCCAAATAACAGGACTGTGACAGAAAGATTCAAGCCTTTAAAACACAATCAAGATTCATACTATACCTCTGAGTGGAGTCTGCCGACTTATACCTGGCAGAAGGCTATTAAGGTGATGAAAATATTTTAGACTCAAAAAGTAGCAAACCAAGATATCCCTGTTAGTAGTTTCCAGAGTACTCAGTGTTTAAAAGGAGCTCCATAAGTAGCTAAAACTTCTACTGAAACAGCACAAACTCCTCTTTCTGATAAATACAAAGAGACCTAAGTACATACAAAAGGTACTGCAGAAGAGAAATGCCTTGTAGTTGGGACACACAGTCTGAAAGAACATCCTGAACCAGAAAGGAAGGAGATGCACTCTTAATGAGCACTGTACTCACACTCTAGGAAAGGCTCCAAGCACCAGATCAAAACCAAAAAAACCTCACCCCATCCACCTCTACCAACAGCATCACAAACCTCTAATAACATTGCTACCACCCAGCATTTTTTTGAAGATTAACTGTTCACATGTAAATTCACAACTATGAATGTGTAACCTGAGCTCCTTCTTGTATAACAATAAAACACTGTGCAACAAATCCTCAAATCCTGTTCCTCTCAGGCAGACATCCTGAGAAACACAAAAAGGCCAGCCATACTGTTAGTGAATGTACATACAGACATTATCTCAAAGATCTCTATTTAGGCTAAGAAAATTCTCTTTCTTTCTGTATTTATACATACATTCACATGGGACATCATGCCATACCACACACATGCCAAATCAAGGAGATCAAGTATCATGGGACCCTTCTACAAATCATTCTTTATCTTGCCTGTGCCAGCAAACCCAAAACCAAAGCCTGAACAACAGAAGTATCAAAACTTCCGTAATCATGCAATACTAGGAGTGTAATGATACCAAATAATTTCTAGGCCTCTGCCGTTCCTCCCTCTCTGTTTTTATAAAAAAGTACCCTCCTCTTGGACTTTCACAAAGGGGAAAATGATTCTGATGAGTTGCTCATCAAGAATCAATCAAGAATTGCCAACAGCTTGTCAGCAGGCAATGGACAGATTCATTTAGGAGCTGTAGTATTTAGGAGCACGCAAACCAGAAGGCTAGTAAGCACATGCAGAAAACAAACAGAAAAGAGCAATTTAAGAACAAACAAAAATCCCTTTCTCAATCAGACTGACACATAACTCAAAGAGAAAGGCACAAGCCTGAACTGACACAATGACCTCAACTCCACAGTGCAAACACAATCATCCATACAAGTTTCTCTATGGCCACTTAGATTGTATTTTGGGGAAGGGGAAAAAAACACCAATACAAAAACCCAATCCAACCCCCCCCCACAAAAAACCCACCAAAAAAACCAATAAAAAACCCACGCCAAAGACAACTCCTAATAACTAAATATGCCCCATGGCTCTACATCAGCCATAGAAATTAAAAAAAAGAGCCAATCAGAAATAATGAAACTCACATTACCCAATACTAGTGAAAGTTCCAAAATAGTGGAATATTCCTAATATTCCGAGACAACTACTATAATAGAAACATTCAAAATATTCAGAAAGGGTCTCAACAACCGGGGTCATACTCACAGAGAATCTATAATCTGCTCATGTCTCAAGGCAGCCACTTTTTACTGAAGGCAAGGATAGGTAAACAAGGCCTAATACAGAAAATAGCAGAAATAGCTTGTGGAAGTCTTAAGGATCCAAAATAGAGTGCTATGACTGTCATAGACAGTACAAAAGATTGTACAGGAAATGTCAATTAAATGGAGGTCTGCACCACAAAACACAATACTCTCCCAATTTCTTGAAAATAATGTCAAATCATCCTCTCTTTTTGCTCATAGCAATCAGAAGGATGAAGAGATGAAAACTGCTGAGAAAAGAACTGCAGACTAAGAGGTGAGACAAGAGACTGTTCCAATGGGAAAAAAAATTAAAATAGTTCAATAACTAGTATTACAGAATTTTCTGATGCTGATGACACAATCAACCACAACAAAGCTTTTCTGCAAAAGGACAGTAATGAATTCTATCTAGCCAACCTGGGCACATGACACTAGGATCTCTCATTTCACAACATGACTGTGGATGTTGAAAGAAGTGGTAACGGCAGCAAAGGTGATCTCAGATGGCAAAAGCACTCTACAAAATTACCAAGTTTTGTAACACCCTGAATGAGTGATGCAGCTTTATGCAGGTAAGACTCAGATCCACCAGTAGGCTTCAAAGTTGAAGAACGTTCCTAGAATCATTACTTTCCTCAGGCTTTCCTCACCTAAATGAAGGGGTTTCTGATGCAATCAATGGAATTCACTGCTGCTCTTCACATGTTCAGGGTTCAAGATGCCTGAAAATCCTTTTGAAAGAAGAGTCCCTTGAAAAGTGCTGTATTGATAGGAACTACGCTTTGATAAGCTTCTCCTAAGGCCTTACAGACCATCAATCTGTGGAATGGAACCACAGATTTGACCACAGGAGATGGTCAAAGCAGTCCGCTAAAAATCAGAAAGATATATACTCTTTAGCTAATTCACACATGGTACAAATAAGACTGACAAGAACACAGTCTGGAAAACAGAAAATGATTTGACATTTTAATATTCTCATTTCCCAGTTCAGAAACTGAGCCCAGAGACTAAGCAGGTATTTCTGGAAACACAAGACTTAAAGCCACAACAAATATTGTATCTGCCCCTCACTTTGTCAAGCACTGCAGGTATCAGAGGTGATCATTCAAGACCAGAAATAGATCTCTTTCAGGATGAGGGTAGCTGGAAAGCATTTACCAAGGTCCAATAAAGAAAATCTGATTAGTGGGAAAAAAAAATGTGGTAGAGAAGAGCAACACAACAAAACTATTGCCTTCTCTCCATAATCATGAAAAAAAGAGAAAATTTAGTCCCTACTCTCTCTCTTCCCAAAGCAGAAAAAACAAAATATCTTTAGAAGGATGTAACAGCTTAAGGCATAAAAAAAATAGGAAGCAATACTTACAAAACATACTCCAGCTCAAATAAGTATCTCTAAGTAACTGAAGGTCATGTGGTAAATATTTCTTGGGAGAAATGTGTCCCAAGTGCATCCTACAGATACATATCTGAATGAAATTAATTTCTTTTGAGACAAGTGTCTTGAATACAAGAAGTTTCTGTGGCTAAAAAGTCTGTAAAATCATTCCATTCTCAAAAATTATGTGCAGTTCTTTGACTGAAGGACCTGTTGCTGCACTTCCTGGGCTTTCTGATACAGCACTACAGCACTCTTCTGTTTACCTGAATGCTACTTATCGTTTTTGAGCACAAATTGTGCTCCTCAGGATTAAAGATGTCCAAAAATGCTTAATACAATAATAGCGGATAATAGCCCTGAAGTTAAGTACCTGATCTAGAGGTGTCCATTCTTCCATTCTGCAATGACTACCTGAAGTTCCTATTATAGATTTTAGGGCAATGTAGCCTAGCAGAGATCTTTTGCATATAAGTGTAGAGATACCCTGAAGCTGTAAGTCAAAACAACTGGAAAGATGACACCTTGAATGTACAGTCAAACCTCACTGGAATCTCTGCAGAGTTACTCAATCACCTATGGGCCAAGTAAGGTTCAACTGGCTAACTATAACAGAAACTCTCAATTAGACTAGTGATATTTTTAACCTGTGTTGGGTTAAGATGACTGTCATGCACTATGTATGAATCTCAGTTAATCATCTACAGACGAGGCATTAATAACTGTTAATATCCATGATTTGGCAAGAATACTTTCAGTACACTTACACAAAGGCATCACTCTGAATTAGCCAGCTTTTCAGACAAACACCAGCACTCTTATCTTTCCACGGTACATCAAACTACTGATATTCAAATATTTAAGTTTGCTGCTAATCCTGAGACTATTCACCATTTACAATGAAAATGAGTTATTTTTAATGCTACAATATCTCCTTACAAATACAGACATCTCCAGGACAAAACCCTCTTCATTAGGAGAAACAGCAGTTCAATGTGCTCTACTGTTGCACGTTATGAGCTCCTTCTCCACCCCTGGCTAAACTGCTGCATTACACCTGAAGTTCACAGTCTTCACCCTCACTTGCCAGTATAACGAACCTATAATGATCCAATCTGAGGGTGATGATGAAACATGTATCAGTGTAGGCACTATCTACTTTTACAGGAAATGAGTTTCTCACAAAACAAGTGGAGCAGGAATGCAATTTTTCACTAGTTGCTCATTTAAACAGCAAAAGACATCCCACAGGGCTAGAGGTTTCGTACTGTACATTCTTGTCAGTGTCACTATCTTCTCAGAACCTTCAAATGCATAGCATCTCTCCTTGGTACTTACATCACTTGAGTTTTTCAAATTGCTCTTTAACTTCCTTAAAAAGTCTTCAATTTCTATTAAGGCCACATTCTGATTTCCTGTGAAGAGTGCCAGTGGAAAATTAAATTTCCCCATTATCTTCTATAGTCAAAATGGATGGAAAACAAATTGAAAACTTTTTTACTCTTATATCATGCTTTTAATTTTGAATTCCATGCAACTTAGGTGTAGCTGCCATATCCTCTTGCTTTTACTTTTACTGTATTTCCAGACATATTTAAACTGAAGTCCTATCCTCTGACTGCTTCTTTCCTTTACGTATTTTTGTTCTGGTGGCACTTCACATTTTATCACAGTAGCTCAACCATAAGAACTGTATTTATTTTACTCTAGGGTGAGGGCAGTGGGGAAATCAAACCTTCCTTCAAATTTAGCATCCTTCAATAACTGCAGTTGGTATCACTCTTAGCATTTTGTCTATTTATGTATAGATTGGTTAAAATATGAAACTATAAATGCAAGACCATTTCAATTTGTCACTAAGGCTCTAAGATCACTCTGACAATGACTGTACACACAGAAGTTACTTATTCAGTGAAGTTTAGTCATCCACACGTGAGCTACCACTAGTCAACAGGTACCCTAATTAAAACATGCAAAACTGGAGAAACAAATACATGCTTTTTTTTTTAAATTATGACCAATACAGTATCCCACAAGCTAGTATCAGTTTGCCAGAAGTCAACAACAGCAAGAGATTCTTAGGCTCCTTTCATACTTTTACATACCTCACTCTTTAGTTATTTGTCACTTTTTAATAATATATTCCTAGAATTACACTGAAAATTTTCAAATCACTACAGTCCATTCCACAGACGTCATGTTTCCATTAATTCTTCTGATAATATATGTAAGACTCAAAAAACGAAGTCAAAAGACTTATCATTTGATGTCACATTTTGCATCAAAAATGCACTTTAAAAGCAGCAATAACATCTACTACTGAAAATTACCTTTCCAAACATGAACCAAAACTGAATTACAACCTTCTGCAACAAACACATTCAGCAGCCAACTGTTTATTGAATATTTCAAATATGAATCTAAATGTCTAGAATTGATTTCTGCAGCATTTGTAGGTTAACATCTAGCTTCTGTACTACTATTCTAAACGTACTTAAAACCTGCAAGGTGTATCCCACTCATACAAATTCTTACGTAGCACAGTGACGTATCTGCATCTCCCTCTACTCTGAGGCACAATCTAATATTTGATATTACTTCAATTCTGAAAAGGACATCCCTAATTTCAACTGTGCTCCAGATCTACAAGTATTTCCAGACTGCTTTTCAGGAGTAGATTATGCTAAAATAGATCACCATATTCAAGCTGCAAATCATCTTGTCTCTTCTCTCTTCTTCTCTTTGTTTTCCTCAATAGCATGAAAACTTACACTCTATTTTTTGAAAACATCTCATTTTTTGGGATTCCCTGTCCTGACCAGCTCAGAGTTTTTTACTCAATGCCCACTATTTCATTTGGTGATAAGGACAAAAATTACCATCCTCCACCACTTAATGAAGTCCTTATTTCAATATAGTCCTTATTCTTTATAACAGAAAATTAAGTCTATTTTTGTCTTTCCTCTACTAAGAGATATTAATTGCTAACTTAGCCTGAGGTGTGAGCTTTTCACTTTCGTGAAATTCTCAGCTATTCTGTCATCTATGGGCAATAAGCACTTTCTATGCTGCCAAGCAAAACTTAACCAGCACATCAATTTTAATCAGCCTTCCTCAAACCCAGACTGCATATGAAGGTTTGAAAATATAAATTAATTCCACTTATCTCTTGAAAGTTATCATAAAAAAAAAAATCTAGCCTTCACCTTCGGTTTGACTTTCCTATTGCCACAAATGTGAACATATCCCATTCAATTAATTAAAAACATCTGGTCTAGATGACATGCTGTTGATCTTTGTCATAATTTATTCACAGGTTCTCTCCTGCCATAATGAGTAAAACCAGTTACCTGTTCTTACCTCTCCTACAGGATAGGAGAATTTCCCATAAAACAAAAGCAAGATCCTGCTCATCCATCACTGCTGCAAAGCTCCTTCACAGTCTGGTCACAGGCAAAACTGCACTCACTCTTCTGGGTATTTACGGTTATAACGGAGTCTAGATTATTTTTTTACGATACTATAACTAAATACTTTCACAAACCTATAACTAATCCACAAAGCGCATCTTTGTTTTGATGCTTCAAAGGCATCTAACAACAATGCAATGGGCTTACTAAATTTGCTGCTTAGAGTGAATTAATTATGCATCACCGTTAAATCCCACATTTTTACTTCCGGTTGACATTTTCGCAATTGCAGTCCCGCATGTTATTTCATCTCTGTGGAATCTTATGATAATATTTGTTCATACAGATGTATAAAATACTTTTGACACAGTATCTGTAAAAAATCTACCTGTAAATAAACTATTGTGTGAAAACTGATTTCACACAATGTAACAACATTATACAATAACTCTCAATTATTTTTTTAATCTCAAAAAATTGACGCAAGTGGTGGAGGTGTACAACACGTTGTTATTCTGTTAGATTAACATTTTACAAGTGCTTAGAGTACAGGACTATCTCCAGACTTAAAAGAGAACTATACTTACTTGTTTTGCTTGCTGTGCATTTACTGGATCACCAAACTGCAGTAAAGCTTGAAACTGGTTATTCTTTGTGAATGTGATTATCTTCAATACAGCACCAAATTTAGAGAATATCTGCCAAAAACATCACAGAGTTTTACACATGCGTTCCTCCTAATCATAGCTTAAGTTAAAATGAAATTTGACCTACCTGATGAAGAACATCCAGGGTTACTGGATAGTACATATTGTCAATAATTATTCTAAGTACTGGACTTTGTGCTGGAGTCACTGCACTCTCACTAACAGTGGTCCCACTAATGGGAGCGTTTGTTGCCTGCACAGCCGTCACTGCCTGAAGAACAGCTTGGGCACGCTTTAAAAAAAAAAAAAGACAGAAGAGAGATTAATATTTCAAGATAATAGCTTGAAATTAATTAGTAATATTAATATAGTTAACTCCAGAAACATAAAATACTCCACTTATTTAAAACTCAGAGCTACAGACATAACACAACGTAAGTGCAATGCAGTCTGACTCTGTGAGAAGAGACAACAAAAATGAAAACATCAATTAATCCTTATGTCACAGTAAGGAGTGGCTTCAAATGGCACCAATATCAGTCTTTCTAGTAGCAAGCTTATTGTTCTACTAGTAAGGATAAAGGAAGTGAGGATTTTGTAGCTTTCAAGACTCTTTCCTTTAAAGGAAATAAAATCAAATAAACCCACAAACCAACAAACAAAAAACCCCAACCCTACAGGAACCAGAAGTATCTTATTTTTCAAAAGACTGTTTCACAGTTAACATTTTACTCCCATTTTAATTATGTAGAAGGCTCTGATAGAAAAGGAAAATGCTAAACTAATCTTCCAAACTTCTCAGTTTTAACACAATGAAATAATACACAAGACTGACAAATGTCAGAAAATAGTATCCAAGAGGTAAACAAACTGGTGTCTGTTATCCACCCTCTTTTGTAAAAAGAAAAACAAAATCCTCTCCATGTGTGGGGATTTTTTGGTTTTTAAACACAAGCAGGATTTTAGAAGTTCAAAGGTAACCACAGGATGATATCACATGAACACACATCTATGTAACTACTTCCACTGCCAAAGCTGACAGTATCAGAAAGATTAGATGTCTTTTTCTGAGAAAGAAAAAGTGCAGAAAAAAGGGTTCCATTTAATACTTTCATTACAGTAGCCTTATGAAGCAAAACAATACAAAACAAGAGAGACAAGTGAGCATGCCAGGTAAAAATAATAACCACCATATTAATGCATACTGCATATTTTAAAGATATTAGAGCTACTACACATTTTCATGTCTCACAACTTACATGATACTCCTCATACTGAAACGAATCAATGAATAAGGAAAGTGGGGGAGAAGGAAAAAAAGAAGACCTAGTGAACACCAGTTGGGAAAACAAACTTTACCTCTACATTTAACATTAATTACTGTAACTCTGCGAAAACATCTTTTGATAACAACACTTCTTTTCCCTAACATATGAAACACACAACTTTCAAGCTGGCCAGATATTTGGCTGAGTTGCATAATTACCTCCTATTCTTTCTATAAGCACAGAAGCACATATGAAATAAAACACACTCTTAAAATGACTAGAAAAGTTTAGACTGTATAACCAAGGAACTAAAATCTGTGAAGTCAATTTTAACATAAGACTAACTTGTTAGCACTATCTATGCTTATACATTTCATTCCACTAGAATCAATGTGAATACATGAAGGAATAGAGGACTTAGCAGTGGTAAATGATGAGTATTTTGTCAAACAAGTTAAAAATAACAACAAAAATAACATAATATATAAATAGTCAATTTGAAGACATACAAGTAGCACGCAAAGTTTTTTTTTTATTTTTGCAAAACTTAAATTAATTTTAAAAGATCAGATATACCACTGAAAGTATAACATTTATTTCTAAATGTTGCAATGTCTATGCAGAAGGACTAAACCCATGCATTTATGACAGGAGGATGATTAAAGAGATCTAAAGTTACAGAGGTCATGCTACTCTCAATTCTCCTGAGTCTAGAAACTGCACAAAATAAAGTAAGAGATATTTGTTTTATATCTGAGTTTAAATGCTCCTCTTGGTGTTTTGATGTCTCACAGGAAAAGGATTTTCATAGAATTACAAACTGAAATGAAAACTTCAATGGTCTTTTTTGAATGTTTATTCAGAACCAACTCATTCTGAGCATATAAGTAAAAATAATCTCCAAAACTACTATTGCTGAGAAGTTCAGAAAAGCTCAGTTCAATGGAACCTCTCCAGCCAAGGCCTGGCTGTCTAAAGTACCCCTTGGTTAAACAGGTTTTTTTCTATCTTCTTTATAAAGAAGATACTTGCAGCTTTCTCCAGGTTTTTTTATCCTATCTTTCCAGTTACACATACTAACATTCTGACTTCTTCACATCTTCCTGCTTGAACATCCAGAAAAAGACAACTTCAAAATGAATTTGAGTTGATGAGAAAGCCTTCAAATACAGATTAAAAATTTTAAGGTTTAGGTATCCAAAAGAACACCAGACTACACAAGTAATACCTGCACCCTCTTTATTTTTTCTTACAGAAAAAAGAATATCCAACCATCTTACACTTTATAGAATGTCTCATGAGATACTAGAATACGTACTGCCAAGTACCTATTTATATCATTTAGTTCTAAATTAAACTTAGTTTTAAGTTCCCAAAGACTTGGAATATATGTTAAGACTGGTCATTAATATGTATGGTGGCATAAAAGCTGCTGAAAAGTCAGCACATCCTATAGGTTGGAAAGGTGAATATGTGAAGTACGAAACCACTATCAGGAGAGAAACCAAAGGACAATGTAAGAACATTGCTTAGGGAATATGTTCATCCACTGTATGTGTAGACAGAATTCATCCTCTACTCCACTTTTTCAAAAGTAAATGAAGGTATTTATTTTTCTTTGTCGCTGACAATTGCTGGGTTGGGGAGCCTCAATTTTTAAAAAGCACTTTTAGTAGATAATCAAAAGATTCTAAGGAACAAGAATGTGTAGAAAGATCAACAGAAAAATCAACACTATACTTGATGTGAAACAAAAGGTCTTTCAAGCTGTTATATAACTATACTATTTATGTGTCCTAAGAGAAGACACAATTAACAGAAACTGTAACTTGGCACTTACACCGTTTTTGTATCATCAAAAAGGCAACACAAAAAATTAATCTTAAAATAACCATCTGATTTGTGGTAAGTTGAGTGCCTTTTATCCCTCTATAGTTTGTATGAAATGGTCACTACGTTACTTTTTCTAATTTTTATGTTCTACTAAAAACAGACATGTATCTATATTTATTGTGAAATAGGTCCTGTAGAAGCAAGAGCAAACTGGTTTTTTGTTATAAAGTACATATGTCTCTAGAGCAATCATTATGATATTCTTCTCCAGGAACAGCAGATCACATAAGCTGAGGTTACCAGTGCTACTGGAGTGATCATTCAAAGCACTGGAATGTAGGCATTGGCATTAGCCATCACCACTGGGGAAATTCAAATCAGCACTGGAATCTCAGGTGTCAGAATCAAAAAGTTAATTTTATTATCCTACAGTCTCTAAACTAAGACAATAACTTTAAAGTTATTTAAAGGTAAAACACACCTCAGAATCTTTTTACTTCAAGGAAAAATTAAGAAAATTTGTCATAATGGAAAGATCACAGAGAAAGTAGAACCCCTTCAAGTGCCACAAAATGGAATGATCATAGTAAAGACTACAGTAGTGTTAGAATGCCAGCAAAACCAAATAATGTAAACATAGGCCACATGAGCCAAGGACACATGCCATGCCTCATCCTCTACTGTGTGCGTTTTCTTCTAATACTACTGAACAGTAAATGTACCTGGTTAAGTGTGTTATCAGTCTTTAGTTCTTTATGATTGGAATACTGGATATAAATAGGTTGGTTACGAAGATGAGGTGTCACAGCAGAGTAGTAATTAACCATAGTGATAGCTGCCTCTTCTGTAGCAAGTTCCAAAAATGCCTGTAATGAAAACAGTTAACTTTCAGTATTTACAAATCAGATAATCTTCATATTAGCAGCATATTAAAAAAACACAGGGTTTGATAACACATTTTAACAAATATCAGTCTTCAGAAAATGTTATTCTCTATATACCAATGTTATTTCCTAAGCTACTTGATCTCCAAAAATTCACTTGTGAAGGCACAGGAATAAGTACTTATCTTGCAGCTAACTTTCTGCTTTAGGTAGCTGCCAACCATTCCCTGATTCACCCCAACATTTACTAAAAGGTGGTGTAAGTTCATTAAAAAACTGAAAGGAACAAAAGCTCTTTTTTTTTCTTTACTGCTTACTGTTATATGACTTATTTCAACAACATTTTAACAATACATTTTGAAATCAGACATATTAAAAAATGGAAAGCAACATATTACCTGATTTTTCCCTTTCAGCATCAGGATGTTGGTTACTTTACCAAAGGGTAAACCTAAAGCAATAACTTCTGTTTCTGTCACTTCCCCAGGCAATTTCCTGATATGAAGAACACGAGAAGGAGCCCCATCCATTTTATCATCACCTTTGAATTTCTTGTTGTCATTACCATTAGCTGAAAGACATATTCAGATTGTATTTGAAAAGTTTACTGATATTATTAGTTATTTATTAAAAAATGCTCTCAGTTATAAACATGAAATTATAAGTAAGTCAGCTCTTTATCTGGTCTAAATAAAATTCAAGGGGTCAGAACAAATTCTGCAGAGATAAACATTAGTTTCATGAAAGGTGGACTGTGCGAGACTTAGTAGCCCTCTGTAATAACTCATTTTCCAAATAAGACAAAAACCACAGTAAAACCTTCACTTTAACTGAAGCAACTCATATAATACCATGTAAGAATATTAATCATGACTCAAAAGGGCTCACATAAGAACTCTAAAGTACACTAAAAAGAAAAAAAAAAAAATTAGTGGTTACCCAGAATTTTTTTGAAAGACAAAAAATGGTGGTGAATAGCTGATACAAGATAGGCTGAAGTGAAGTTTTTTTAAGAATGCTTGCACTAAGGAACTGGACAGAAAAAGTAGAAAAGTATCAAAACAAGACAGTAAGCCACTATTAACACTGGGAAAGATCACACTGGAGAAAGGTGATGACCCAGAGGACTGACATCCCAAAAATCTGATGAAATCCACAATTTAAGGACAAACTAGAGAAATGCCCATTAAGGACTACTAGCTTACTCATAGAAAAAGAAAAACCAATGAACCTGATGCTGCCAACACAGATGGGGGGGTAGAGGAAGAGACAGACAAGATTTTCCTACCAGAATCAGGGAAGCATTAATACCAGTGTACAAAGCACCAGACAGACACTATTTGGAATACTGTCCAGAATTCTTGCATAGAATTCCAGCAAAATTCCACCTTGAGTTTCTTTTTCTTGAACATATCTAATACCTAGATAGCCAGTTGGATGGAATAAGTCTTGCTTTTGAATGCAGGCCAGAAAAAAATTATTTGCTTTGGTTAAAAACATGTTAGTGGAGTAAGATCAGAGAGTCAAGAGGTAAAGAAGATCAGTGTCATAAGATATACAGATATTAATGAATTAATCAATGCTGGAAATCAGCAACATTTAGACATGAGCAAAGCAAGTGCAAAGACTTCCTTTTCTCTACTTTTTGATATAAAAAAGTAATATATTTAGATTTATCTACATATAAAAGTCAAGATACTCTCTTAGTTAAAAATATTATGTCTTAGAGGCAAGGTCATGCTTTAATTCCATACCCCCACTCTGTATCACTACCACCTTCCCCCCTCAAAAAAATTTCCATAACTAAGCTTTCTAAAAAGTTCTTGCACTGCAGGACACTAAGCATTTTCCAACTTACTATAGCAGAAAAAAACAACAAAAACCCAGTGATATTAGAAACTGGTCAAAATTCAGCTATAGGTATCTCCAACTGACAGTGCTAGAAGGGCTCAAATCCATGCAATAGTATGTATTTTATTTTCATCTGCTGCACAGAAAGACAAATCTTGATGGAACACAGAAGAGTAAAATTTCAAAAACGCACAATGAACTAGGATCTCAAGTCTATCTATAGTCTGCACAATGCTCTAACTTTTATCATTTTGGAAAACATGGTGAGATTGAGCTTCCAAGTAGCCAAATTTTAACTCTTCAAAATTATACAATATAACGCTTTGTCTCAAAGGGACAGGTAGTCAAAATTTATGAAAATTACTTTTATTTTTCACCCGAGGTTCATCATGCAACAGTCCTCCCTAGTCATCAATTTAAATTTCTATTAAAAAAAAAAAAAAAGAAACAAGGTGAAGTGGGATAGGCTGGACAATACACTGCCAACAAACTTGCAAAGAGTAAAAGAATTACAGTGATACTAAAACTGCATGTCCAATGCCCTTCATACTCAAGCTTTCTCAATAATTTCAATTCATTACAAGTTTCAAAAATTAAATATGAAACATTAACAATGAGAAATGAGAAAATGAAAATAAAGTTTTTTAAATGAAAGCATTTTCTGAACCTGATTATGAAACCTCTGGTTTTATTACACCACCAGAAAAATATACACCATGAATGCTCGGATCACTGCTTAGAGAGCTGTTTTGTCTTTCATGTGGTCTTAAACATACAACTTTGACATATTAACTTTTCCACAGCAAGAATAATTCCAATAATTATTTTTTTAAATGAAAGCTTTTATTTGAATTAGGTTTTAGGTAGTCCCGGCATTTTTAGTAAAAGTATCACTGGCCAGTTCTATCTCGTATTGGCCTTTTTAGCCACCAACGCGCTTGCATGAAAAATGGGTAGAGCCCTTCCCAAATCTTCGTTCGCGAAGCCTAGCCATGAATGAATGAAATGAATGAATGAAATCACTGGCCAGTACATAAACACTCAAATATAAGTATATGAAAAGAAATGTTGCTTTAAGAATTATTTAACACAATGATTTGATAATTATTGTATTATCCAAATAGATTGATTTTCCATCTATTAGCATTGCTATCTAATATTGGCATTTTACAGTTATTCAACTTTTGTTGCAGTAGGTTTAAAGTTTAAAATAAATATTTTGTTGTACTAAATATATATATATCTTTTCCTAAAGAGTAGTTAACAGTTTTAATTTAACTCATGTATACAAATCTCACACAATTTTATCTTTTAAACTGTCTTAAACATCTACTAAACTATTCTTTAAATTTTTTTTACTTACTGTAAAAAAAAGCTACGTAGATAAGCGCCTGCGCGAAAGTGTCTATATGAAAAAGTACATAAATCTATTAAAGTAGGATATAAAAAAGATACAGAATTAGGCACTAAGGAATGTATGGCAATGAGATAAGTGGAGTGTGGAAGGGAAAGGATGGGGGGACTGGCAACAAGCATTCTCCATGCTATGTAATTGCCCAAAGAAAATTTTAAACAGTTGGGCAAGTAACCATGACAAAAGCTCGTTATTACTTTTTGGCAGGAGCATATCTTCTACAATGAAGGCTGACCATGCGGGAAAAAAATGAAGCCCACCATCTTAAAGTAAAATTTATGCCAAATTTAACAGTGGATTTTGGAAGCTGGAAGAAATTAACACATCAGTTGTTGAAAGCAAAGAGAACGTGTACTTTTTCTACTTTTGATTATTCATTCAGCATAGCCTAACATTAATTTATTGTTTCAGTAATGGCAGTAATAAAGTGTGTGTCATACACTAAATACACATGCACATACACAAGTGAATTTTTCAAAACATTTAAGGAACAAATTAAATTTAGCTTTTAGAAGAGTTATCAAGAGTTTCTGGCACTGTATGAAACCTTTCTCCTTAACTGTAGTCTCTTATTTGTCATTATAAATGGTACTTCTCAGCTGAAGACACATTATTAAACTGCACTTGGGAACAGAAAACCACGTTTCCAACATGGGAACACAACTTGTACAGAGCCGCTGGAAGGTGAACTCAACTACTGTTGAAACAAAAATTTCATTCTATAACAGTTGTATTGGCATAATCAGCATCCATAAAGGTTAAAAAGTAAGTCAAGAGGAACAAGGTACTCAAGGAATAACATGGTCTTTTGGTAGAAATGGAGTCTATGGCTAAGCAAGCAACCCAAAAGATCCTTCCCTATACAGCAGTTAAAACAAAATTGCTGAAAACTGTGGGGAGGTCAAGGGATATTGTCAGGGGAAACCTCACGAGCTGACTAATAACTACAGCTGAGAAACTGCTATTACACTGGAAGCTTATTGGCAAGTAGTTATTTCATCATGTAGTTTGGCTTTCATCTGACTTGAATACCCTGATGCAAATCAAGCATCTTGTGCTAACATTTTAACAAATATAAAGATGCACTGAAAAGCACCATGCTACAACATTTGGGGGGGAAAAAAAAGTTTTAAAAAATCACAGTGGGAATGGCTAAAACAGTGTTAGTATCAGTTCATTTACTAATCAAGTTACAGCCTTAAATATATAGTTAAAAAAATATAATCAAAAAATTAGAACCATAACCCTGAATCATAGAAACATTTTGGTTAGAGAAGACCTTTAAGACCGAGTCCAACCACTAATCCTGCACTGCCAAGTTGCATTGAACTATGCCCCCAAGCACCACATCTACATATCTTTTAAATACCTTCAGGGATGGTTATATTCAATTCAGACTACCAAAATCCCCCATGTTCTGTAACAACCTTTGTACTGATCAAGTCCTCTTCAGCTCTCCACCAAGGAGAAGAAAAATTAGTTTTGAGGTGACATCAGATGTGTACTTCTACACAAAATCTTATCTCTACTAATGGCATTCAAAGCATTATTCTTCCACATAAATAGGATACTACAGTTTAAATATAAGTGATATATATAAGCCACATCCCTGCTGCACACAGTTCTTTCAATTCAGCATAAATCAACTCGTTGAAATTGAATGCTTACGAGCTGACAAAGCCTATAAATGGCTACAATCTGAGCAACTTGGGTCCTAATTTTCAGTTAGAAACTCCTATTTTATTAAACACAGAAAAATCTATATAAAAAAGGCAACAGAATGAACTGTAATGTACACAAGGCATATTGTAAGTCCAAGTCATTCATTCAAGCTATGAAGATTCAATGCTCCCAAGCAGTTTTTGCAGAAAAACTGATCTTCAAGTTCAGCATAACTGCTAGCAAAGACTGAACAGTTTACCTCCTGATGACAACTATTTTTTAAAAAATATTTTTCATAAAATTTCAGGAGTTTCTCTGCACATTTTTTTATTTTTTGAGAAATACACAAATAACACTTAAGAGTTCTGAGATCTTGATTTTAGGTACTTTGTTTTAGGTCTTCCTGGAACACTTATTTTGTTGTCCAGTACAATCAGTTTGTACGTAGTAAAGACAAGAAGCTTACTAACAGCAGTATTCATTGCTGATGCTAATGTAGAAAGTACTTCTTGTTTCACTTTGGCTAAATATATGAAATTTAATGTTATCAGCAAGTAGAACAACATAGGACACATATCAAGATAGGAAATGAGTAACTAAGAGAAAGAAAGTGGAATTATGAAGATATCTAGTTTACAGTTGTG